GCAGGAGCGCGACGATGCCTTGGCCGAGCTGCAGCGGCAGCAGCTGGAGAAGAATGCCATGGACAAGGCGGTGTATGAAAGCCGGCTGCAGGAGCGCGACGACGCCTTGGCCGAGCTGCAGCGGCAGCTTGAGAAGAATGCCATGGACAAGGCGGGGTATGAAGCCGGCTGCAGGAGCGCGATGATGCCTTGGCGAGCTGCAGCGGCAGCTTGAGAGGAATGCCATGGACAAGGCGGGGCCGGAATGCCAGACAAGGGAAGCTGTTGATTTTGTGGTTGCGAGTGTAGGTAATCGACCTTGTTTTGAAGTGAAGGATTTTTCTGTAGGCGGTGAAGTGGTGTTATGTGTGCCTGATTTGTCACTTGCGGAGGGTTGCAGTACGGTTTGTGTTGAAGCTGAGGGGGAGTCGGTGATTGATTTGTATTCAGAAGGGTGTGATGATTTTCGGAGGCATATGATTGAGCAGGTGGGTGGTGATTTGTTGGGTGTTGAGGCAGAGCTTCACGAGTTTTCCGAATCGTTGGTAAAGCTGGGCGAGCTTATAAGGGATGGGAGGATTCCGCATCGTCAGCAGGAGCTTGTTGAAATGTATGTTGGCTGCGTTGAAAATGGAGATGATGCACGGGATTTGGTGATGGAGTTGCAGATGCTCGTGCAGGAGCATAAGCGTCTCGTGGGGGTGATGCGTGAGAATCTCATGGAACTGGGTGCTAGGGAGAAGCTGCTTCTGCTGAGACTTGATGGCGTCGGCGAGGACCTTGCCTGTGCCGGGAAGGGGTGCTTGGCTGTCGATGGGAAGAATGAGGAGGAGCAGCAGCGCCGTGTTCTAGAAGAAATGCAGTTGAAGCATCAGAATTTGTCAGACGCGTTGTTGTTTGCAGGAAATGAGATGAGGATGTTGCAGGCGTTGCAGCAGCGTCGCGATGAGTGTCTGTTGCGTACGCTACAAGAACACGCCCCTTTGTTCATGACAACACCTTTGAGGAATGCCGGTTTCATGTCCAATGAGTTGGAAACTGGTATCTTCTTCATGGCAGGCGGTGTGTTTCTGAGTGTTGTCTTTGGGACACTCATGTACAAGCGGTACAGTCTGATCTAACGTGCTTAAGATTGTTTTTTGTTGTTGTTGTGTGTGTGTTTACGTTTTTTTTGTTTTTGTTTTTTTTTGGCTGTTTGTTCTGTTGTTGTTTTTGTTTCTCCTGTCGCTCCTGTGCGTGTGCCTTCTCTTTTCCAGCGTCGTCCACCTCCCGCCCCGCAGACACCACACACGCACGTGTGCCAGAGGCGTCTGCACGGGGACGGCCATCTCGTACGAGGCCGGCCAAATGATGCTGCGTGTGCTACCCTGACGGTTTCATGCACAAAGCCCTGTACGGTTGCTGTTTTTTTTATTTTTGTTTTTTTTTGTTTTGTTTTATTGTTTTCGCATATATGCGCGGGTCAATCGTTTTTTTTTCTTTTTTTTGTGCTGGCGCGCGGCCACACGAGGCGAAATACCGTGCGTGTCTGCTCTCTGGCTGGGTGCGTCGCAAGTCATCTGTCAGGCGTCGTGGTCCACCTCCGTGCGCGTCTTGTGCCTTGCTCCTCCCCTATGCCTTTTGGCCTCACCGTCGGAGCAGCAAAGCGACATTGCAGTGGCATCCCCGCAGGAGGGCGGTGCAGTGAGTGACGAAGACGTAGAGATTGAGAAGCGACTAGAGAGAGTGAAAACGTAAAAAAAAAAGTATGGGAAGGACATGGAGGAAAACCTCATCGCGGGCAGGGAAAAATGAGAGGCTTAAGACAGGTGGCGGAAAGAGGGAGGCGGCGCTGGAGCCAGCACAGTCATGTCCTCCTGGCAGCAGTGGCGGAGAGGAAAAGATGCAAGGAACGAAGGCGAGGGACTCGCAAAAGCCCTCACTGGCGTCGCGCACACTCCGTGACGCCGAGGTTGATAGCGTGGGCGCCAGAGGACCCCGGCCAGCGTCGCCTCAAACTCATGCCGCATATGAGGTCTTCGATAAACTTATCCCGTGGTCGGCTCACAGTACGGGCGTGAACACGCCGGCGCAATCCATCGACTCTTTGGTGGGGCATTTATTCCAGCACACCGTCGAGGAGGGGGCGGCGTATGACGACACGCTGAAGCGGTCCCTAGCAAGTGAGGAGTTGATGATGCGCAACATTCTCGAGAATGAGGCCTCAACGAAGCTTGCCACAATGTTCGCGGCATTCTACAGGGAGTCGCCCTCAAGCAGCGTGTGTGAGTCACGAAATTCCCACAGTGCAAGCAGCCGATTTGCAAGAAGCGTGGGAACGAGTGCCGGTGCGCAGGAGTTGCGCACAACGGAAGCACCCGTGGAGAGGGCGAACTCTGCGTTGCAGGTCGTTCTACCATGTGGTTCACAAAGAGAGCAGTGGACGAAGACGCCTTCAGCCAGTACAGCCGCTTTGTCCGCGTCGGACCCACTCAACGCCGCGCATGTAAACTCGCGCTTGGGAGGCTCACACGGAAAAGTTGAAGAGGAGTGTGATAAGGTGCAGCGCAGGATCACCACTACCACTCATGTATTACCTTCATACGGAACGCTGCAGGGTTTGCAGGCAGGAACTGCTGGTTCTTTGAGTCCTTTTGACCCGCAGGCTGGTTTGGGTCTCTCGTCACTCTGCACGGGTGTGATCGGCGGGGAGGGTGGCTCTACGGCATGGTTTCTTTACGAAAACGAAATACCTGTTTTTCGACCCGTCTGTGCTACTGCGACTGACCTTGCTGTGGATGTGGAATGTGAGACAGAGGCGTTGTTGAAAACCGGTGTGAATCCTCAGGTGTGCTTTAGAGCAATAATGCGACAGGTGCTCTTCTATATACTTGCAATGGGCCTCTTTTTCCCACCCATGGCCCACAGTGGCCTATTTGCTGGTGTGGATATCTTTAACACTGTCGAAAGCTCTGTCCCGAGGCGAAACGTTATGAAGTTTACTTTTTTATTTGCTGATGCAGCTGCATTTTGTGTCACCACGTCGCTCACTGCGTTTTTCTGCAATGGTAGCCGTTTTTTGCGGCACGGCTTGCTCCTTGCCGCGACGGCCGCAACAGTTGGCGGTGGATTCTGCCTGCTGCATGGATATTTGTCTGGCAGCCTTGTCGTGCTGCTGTTATCTCAGTTACTACACGCAGTTGGACTTGCCGCAACTCCAGTAGCGGTGCTATGTATCAACTGTGCCGAGTTGGGTGCTCCCCTTGGCACCGTCTCACTCATATTTTTTACAGTGCACTTCTGGTTGGTGAGCGGGGCGGCGGGGAGGCTCATCTTTTTCGCCGTCGCACGTCTTAGCAGCGGCGGGGTCGCGGGGGCACTGCGTGTCTTTCTTTACCTAACCTACACAGGGCCCGTGTTTGCCCTTGCGTTTTTTATGCTCCTCCCACCTGCCGAGTGTCACGGGGCGCGGCGCACTCTTGACGTCGTAACTGACGCACGCAAACTCCTCTTTATCCTGCGGCACATCGAAGTACGTTTTGTGTTTTGCTGCATCTCAGGCGGCTGTCTTCTGGCCTTGGTGCTGCTTCTCACTGAGGCTGAGTCCCTCTTCTCTTCAGTGCTCTTTGGGGATGCCACCTCTTCGGTGTTTGCGGATCTCTATTCGCTCACCGTGCTTGTCATGCTGCCGCTATTTCTGTTGCCTGTTCTTGGGTTTTTTGTACGCTTTTGCGGGTTTGGTCTCTTGACGACGGTGGTGGCGGCGTGGCTTGTGGGGCTAATATCCATAACGACGCCCTCAGCAGCGGTTGCCACCCCGGAGCCCACCTCGATGCAGTCAATGATTGCCGTGACTTCCGTTCTGTGTGGAGCGTCTCTCGCTGTAGCGCTGGCGGGGCCCATGCGGTCTCTGGCCTCCGTCGAGGCGGCGTCGCTGTCGGTGGTGGTGCCGGCCCTGTTGTTTGCGACGCTTCTCTCCCTGTGTGTAGCGCTTGCAGCAGGCGTTACTGCGGTGTTTTTTGCTACCTGCCTGCAAACGAACCACACGGGCGGTTCCACCGACGCCGGTGGCATGTTGGCACGGCAGGCGCGGTGTGTAGATTACGTGGCGCTTGCAATGTGTCTTTCGGCGTTATGTTTGCAGATAACGACGGCGGTGAAAACGTTTCGTGTGCGGCAGTTCAGTGCTGCGGCGCACGAGGCGGCGGCGGAGGGGGGTTTGGTGGCTGATGGTGGTTGTGGTGTATGACACCCAGTCGGGTCTCTTTCCCTCTCGCTCCCTCACCCTTTGCATGTGTGCGTCAGTGTGTCTTTTTACATGTTGGGTTCACTTCTCGTCTCTCTCTATTTCTGCCCCAACGTTTTCTTTAAGTTTTTTTTCTTGTCCACTCCTTGCATCAATGTGAAATCCATTTCCTTCTTTGCGCATTCATTATCTCCCGCTCGTTTCGTTACTGCTGATGCTGCTACTGTGTGTCTGTTTTATGATTCTTTCGATTTATTGGAGCCTGTCGGTGTGTCAGGGTGGACGCTCGCCGGGTTACGCGGGGTGTGCACGGGCTTGATGTTTTCTCCTGCTGCCACTGCCCTTTATTGCCGCCTCATTTTTTCTTTTATTTTCATTGCCGCCTCCCACCATCGTCGTATCTGTGCGGGAGCAGAACACTGTGACACAGCCATGAGCCTCACGGCGCAGGGCGAACGCGATCTCTTCGACCGCAACGTGTTGGACTTCAGCTCGTATGAGGAGTACCTCGATCAGCAGGTGACCGCAGAGGACCTCTTCTACCTCGGCAACCAAGACGCCGCGCGGCAGATCGTCGAGCTTGGCTACAAGGGCAAAGACTTCCTCAGCCGTGAGGAGTTCGAGGCGGCCCGCCTGCTCGCACTCGAGGGGCCGTCGCGGCGCGAGGAGACGGTGGACGTTATTTGCAGCGCGGGGAAGAAGCTGGACGATGCCCCGCTGCTCAGCGCCCTGGCGAAGCGCGAGGAGCTCGTGCGGAATGGAAAGTTGTCCACCATTATTTTTCTCCGCGACGTGGTGCGGGGGCAGGAGGTGTCGGCGTACATCGACTACGGCCACCGGCTGAAGACGGAGGACTTCACGGAGTACTTTACGAAGCGCAAGCGGCTCACACCGAAGCGGACGGACCTGAGCTACTACAACTGGAAAACGCACACGCTCTTCTACAACAACAGCTTCACCTTCCAGGTGCTGGCCGCCAACGAGATGGGGTTGCTTATGAAGCACAAGCGGGATAGAAAGACCATCAACGTCGACCCACGGGCCCCGACGCCGGGCGACAACAGCAACCGCAGTGTAATTCAAACTCCAGAGTACGTGCAGGTGACCATCTACGACCACGTCACACGACGCAAGAACTAAGCAGACACGGTGGACACGCACCACACCTCCTTTGCGTGGGTAGAAGCAGTCAAGATGATGAGGAGGGACACACATCCGCAAGGTGTGTGTGTATGTGTGAATGAAAGGAAGAAGGAAAGTCAAACAAACAAACAAAACAAAAAAGAGTGGGTCTGGCGAGACAAAGCCCATGTTTGCATGTATAATGCACTTACTGTTGCTGTGGTTGTTGTGGTGGCACTTTTGGGGGTGTTGTCGCCTTGCATGTCTGTACGAGTGTGTGCCTGTGTGTTTTATGTGACATGCCTTGGAACTGTCCGCTTTTGCTTCGCTGAGGCGAATGTACAGAGTCATCGGTACTGCAGCCAATGACACCTTGGCCTTCTTTTTCTGCCCGTGTGGGCGTCTTTCCCGTGTCTTTTAGTCACGGTGCTTCGCCGTCTGCACTGTCCAAATGTACTCCTTCCTCCTCCCCGCACATCATGTTTTGCCTAACGACCCTGCGGATACCTCTTCCATCGTGCGGGTTGGTCACCAGAAAAAGAAGAAGCAACCAATAAAACATACACAGAAGGATATATATATATATATATATATATATATATCACTGTAGCCGCGTTGTTGATGGAGCGCGGCCCTATCGCGGCGTTTAAGGACCACGAGGTGGTATTTGGCCACGTTGATGGCGAGGACCGTGGGAAGAACGCGATGTATCCGCCGCTGCGCCGCAATGACCCGCTTTTTTGGCTGCGGGATGATGCTCGCAAGGACTCAGCGGTTATTGCCCACCTGAAGCTGGAGCAGGCTTATTTTGAGGAGCGCACGGCGGACATTAAGGACCTTTCCGAGACGCTTTACAAGGAGCACATTGCGCACATACAGGAGACAGACATGTCCGCGCCGTATCTGCATGATAACTACATGTACTACACGCGAGAGGTGGCGGGGTTGTCGTACAAAATTCATTGCCGTGTTCCTCTTGGAAAGACTCCTGGAAAGAGCGAGGAGGAACAGGTGATCCTGGACGAGAACAAACTGGCCGAGGGGAAGACGTTTTGCGTAGTGCACACAGTGAAGCCGGCACCGCCGGACCACACCCTTGTTGCCTACTCGGTGGACTACAGCGGAAATGAGGTGTACGACGTCCGCTTTGTGCAGGACGCGGCGGCGGATGTGGTGGAGGGGACCAATGGCAGAATTGTGTGGGGCCCGGGTGCGTCTTGCTTCTTCTACACGACGAAGGACGCGGCGCAGCGGGATCACAAAATTTGGCGACACGTCATGGGAAATCCGCAGTCGGAGGACGTCTGCTTATACACGGAGGATGACCCGCTCTTTAGCGCCTTTATGGGGAAGTCGGGGGACGGGCACACGCTGGTTATCGGCTCGGTGTCCTCGGAAACAACGGAGGTGCACCTGTTGGACCTGCGCAAGGGAAACAGTCATACAACACTGGAACTGGTTCGCACGCGTGAAAAGGGCGTGCGCTATGACGTGGAGCTCCATGGCACGGATACGCTGGTTATTTTGACAAACAAGGACGACTGCATGAACGGCAAGGTGGTGCTGGCAACACGGAGCGCGCCGGCGGAGTGGGCTCACGTCCTTGTGCCACACAGCGAGGAGACGTTCATCGAGACTGTGGCTGTCTTTGCGAAGTTTGCCGTCTTTGCCGGCCGACGTGCGGGGCTAACGCGTGTCTGGACGATGCCGGCGGGTCGTGACGGGTCCTTCGTCGGTGCCGTGTTGCAGGAGGTGCCGTTTGACGACCCCGTTTTCGCCGTCCACCCTGCCTTTTCCCAGATGAAGATGTACGACACAGCGACGCTGCGCCTTGTCTACTCTTCCATGACAACCCCCACGACATGGATCGACCTGGACGTCGCCACTGGAAGCCGCACGACGGTGAAGGTGCGTGAGGTGGGCGGTGGGTTTAATGCAAAAAATTACGTCTGCCGGCGCCTCTTCGCGACGGCGCCGGACCGGACGAAGATTCCTCTGTCGGTTGTGCACGACGCCAGCCTCGACCTGAGCAAGCCGCACCCAACTATGCTGTACGGCTACGGCTCGTATGGGCTTTGCATGGAGCCGGAGTTCAGCATCAAGTACCTGCCCTACGTGGATCGTGGTATGATTTACGTCGTCGCCCACATCCGCGGTGGGGGGGAGATGGGCCGGGCGTGGTACGAGGTGGGGGCCAAGTATCTCACAAAGCGAAACACTTTTTCAGACTTCATCGCCAGCGCGGAGTACCTGATTGAGACTGGTCTAACGACCCCCTCGCAGCTGGCGTGTGAAGGGCGTAGTGCAGGTGGGTTGTTGATTGGGGCCGTGTTAAACATGCGACCCGACCTCTTTCAGGTCGCGCTGGCAGGCGTTCCATTTGTGGACGTCATGACAACGATGTGCGACCCGAGCATTCCACTCACCACGGGCGAGTGGGAGGAGTGGGGGAACCCGAACGAGTACAAGTTCTTTGACTACATGAACAGCTACAGCCCTGTGGACAACGTGCGCGCGCAGGACTACCCGCACCTCATGATTCAGGCTGGACTGCATGACCCTCGTGTGGCCTACTGGGAGCCAGTGAAGTGGGCCTCCAAGCTGCGTGCGCTCAAAACGGACACCAACGAGCTGCTGCTCAAGATGGACCTTGACAGCGGGCACTTCTCGGCAAGCGACCGCTACAAGTTCTGGCGTGAGATGGCCATCCAACAGGCCTTTGTGCTCAAACACCTTAATGCCCGGACGCTGCTCCGGCGGTGAGAGGGGCGCGCACGGAGGGGGTGGTGATGCCGCAAAGGACAACGATGATGAACTTACACTGAGGGCGGTTGTGGAGTGGCAGAGGCAACATTCAGTAGGGCGGTTGCTACACTAAAAGGAGGAGAAGAGGGAGTATGAGGAGGGGGAAGAAGAGATATAACGCGCTCGGAAGGAACGAGGAGAGGCTGTGTGTAATGACACCCATTCATGCGGGTGTCTAGAGGGGAAATGAACGCAAAGGAAGAAGAATAAGAAGAAACGGAAGGAAGGGGGCGGATGATCAGCGAGTAAGGAGGTGCAGTGTTGTGAAAAAAGAAAAAAAAAGAACAGGACAAACGCGCCACATGCGTGCGTACTGAAACTGCCGGTGGTGCCTCCTTCTGGGTAACCGCGAGGAGGTGGAGAAAAGGGACAAAAAAAAAAGGAACAGCGAAAGTGTGTGTCAGTCGAAGGCCTTTTAATGACGGCCATCTTGCTGGTGGTTTCTCCTTTATTTCGTATCCTGCGCTTCCACGTCTCCTTCACCCCTTCCGCAGATTAAAGTCAGGGGCGGCGCTCCACCCCCAGACACCACAGCCAGAGGGAATTTACACCCAGCAGGAGGGTCTGCTACCTGCCACTTCCTCCCGTGTGTAGATATCACTTTATGGCGGGTACCGGCGAAGATGGGTGCTTCCGCCAGGGCACGCCTGTGGGACGGCTGGAGCTGATTATCGGGCCGATGTTTGCAGGCAAGACGTCAGCACTCATTCACCGCGTGTCGCGATTGCGAGCTGCGAAGCACCGCTGTCTTGTTGTCACACACCGAAGCGACACACGCTACCGCAACGCGGCGAAAGGAAAACAGCAGGACAACGCGGAGGTCTCGCCATCCTTTGACTGGGAGCTGACGACGCATTCGCACCACACGCTTTTCACGGCAGATGTTGCCGTTTCTGCACTGTGGGAACTGAAGCGTTGGGAAGTGTCAGCGAACACAGAAGCTAATTGCCGCCACGTCGGTTGTGGCCCTGGCGGCAACAACACCACTGCTGAAGAGAGAAGTCGAGAGGACGGCGGTGATGCGTTGGACTGGCGCGAATATGACGTGATTGCCATTGACGAGGGGCAGTTTTTTGCAGATCTTTACATTTTTTGCACTGCGGCCGTGGCCATGGGGAAGTGGGTCTTTGTTGCCTCGCTCGACGGCGATTGTCACCAGCAGCTCTTTGGTGATGTTTGCCGCCTGATACCACACTGTGAGGTGGTGGAGAAGCTCTCCGCGATATGCATGAGGTGTCGCACCCGGGATGCTTTTTTTACACATCGCCGCGTGGAGGTGGGGGAAGTCGTGGTGGTGGGCGGTGCAGAGCTGTACGAGCCGGTGTGTCGGCATTGTCTGGCGGATGTGTCCCCACGGCGGCCAGCTGCGGCAAAGCCTGAGAGCAATTAGGGAGAAGGAAAAGCGTCGGTGAATGGCTGTCAGGAGGTGCGTGAGAGGAGGGCACGGCCAGCTGTGGCTAAACACACGGGTGGGTCTCCCCGGATTTGGATTATTTGCTTTTTTTTTTTTTAAATTGGTTGTTTGATTTTTTGTTTTTGTTTTTGTTGAGGCGGTCACATCAAACGGGAGTGCGGAGGCAGCTCTTGCATGCTTTACTTACCTCCCCCTTTCACTCTCTTCGTCCCTCGCCATAACCCTCGGCTACCACCAATAACGCGGATGGCTCTCATCCGGTGAGTGTTGTTGCAGGGCCCTGGAGTCTGCCTCGTCGTGAGTTTTCAACGAGAGTCCATTTATCACAGTCATATTGCATTTGAGCTCATCTGCTTATGGGTGTGAGTGTGCATGGGGGATCTTTGGGCTCACACTGGGCCCCAAACCGTCCCTCTCCTTTCCATTGCTTTAATTGGCTCTCTTTTCTTGTGAGAGGGCACGAGGGAAGTGGCGTGGTCTCATCCAGAGGCACGTGTCTTGATGCTTGCTGTGTAACTTTTTTACTGACTTCCACGTAGTTGTTGCCATTTGCTTTTGCTGGGCATCGGAAAGCAAAAATAAACGCCAGGCAGCCAAAAAAAAAAAAAGAGGAAAGGGGCAAGGGGGGTAAACTAAGGGGCCTGCGGTTTTAGCGAGACGAGGGGGGAATGTCGGTGTTAGACGAATGCAGGCGAAACTTCAAGCTAGAGCTGCGACACTTTGTTGGCCTTCAATACACTGCCGCAGACCCTGTCGACATTCAACGGCAGCGCGGGCGACTGCGACAGCTGCTCACAGATGTGCGATCTGGCGCTATCGCGATGAGTTCTGCGGGGGTCCTCCCCTCCGTTACCACCGCCGCCTCCCTGCCAGTTTCAGTTGTTGAGCATAAACGACAGCCAGGGAAAGAGGTGGAAAAGCGTGCGGCCGCGAGGTCAGAGTCGGTTTCCTCCACGCTGATCAAACCCATGATGCCATCAAACGCTACAATGGCCGCCACGGGCGGCTCTGAGCGTCGGGGGGTGCCACCGGCGCAATCGTCCCGTCGTGAGCCCACAGTAGATCTTGATGTTGTTGCGGTGTTCGCTGAGGAGTGCCTCGCGGCGGCGCAGTACCTGCTGTCAAGGGGGGCATACAAGGACGTGATAGACATATGCCTGGATCCGCTGGAGAAGGACGTGCGAGAGGTATTGCGTGGGGCTGCTGCGAAGGTTGAGGCAGCGCGGGTTGCAGCACGGGCAAAGTCTGCTGGAGAGCCTGGCGCTGAGAAGAGTGAGGTGCGATTGCAGGAGACGGAGGATGTGCCGGCGCATTGTTTTTGGGTGACTAAGGCCCCAGCGCAGCCCAAGGAACTCCTCTACGCCTGGCGTCTTTTGGCGCAGTACGACATGTTGCGGTACACCTGCCAATTCTACCAGGCATTCTCCCTTGAGACGCCGTTGAGCGATTGCTCAGGGACAATTATGCTGGCGGCAAGCCATATTGAGGCAATGACATCGCGTCTGCTTGGCATTGCAGCGGTGGACCCCGATGACAGCTACCACATCCTCTTCAATGGCTGCGTCACGGTGTATGAGATGTGTCTTTATATGATGCGGCGGGCGGGCGGGTGTGTGAACGAAGCCGTGCCGCACGTGCTTCATCACATTGCACTTTGCCTGGAAATATGTGAGTCCGCAGCGCTAAAGTTGGCGACAGTGCGGTACTTGCCGTGGCGTCTTCGCCTCTACGACTACCTCGCTGCCTGCTATGAGCAGCAGGCGATGTACAGTGAGGCGCTCACTGTGGTTCAGAGGGCGGCACAGAAGGTCCAGGAATTGGTTGATCTTGAGTTCCTCGATCCGGTGCCACCGCCACAGGCCAGTCAGGACGTGATGCTGCGCGCCATGGACCACGTCTTTCTTAACCTGATGCGGTATACGTGGTACGTCAACAGCACGACGAAGGCCGGCGCCAGCAACGCCGCAAACGCAACGTCAGGAGGCGTGACGGAGAGTATATCAACGCTCAAGCAGCCTCATTCGATGTCTGCGGCGGCGCTAGGCGCCTCGACACCGCTGTGGTCGATGATGGAGGTCGTGCCCTCCAGTGGTCTTGAGTTGCTGGATCGAGCCTGGCAGCTGCTACTCAAAGTGGCGCTGCCGAAGCGACCTGCGTCAACCACCGCTCTCACCACCTCACCATCAGTGACGGGGAAGGGGGGGAAATTCAAGGAACAGAAGGCAAAACAGAAGCAGCCGGCGCCAAAGGAGGAGGTTGTGAGCAAGGACCTTGTGGCGGGGCGGGTGTGGGAGTCGCTGCTGCGCTTTCTGCTGTCGCTGGCAACCGCCTCCCTGCCGCCTTCAGGGAGGGAGAGCCAAGAGACGAGTTCCCGCAGCAAGTTCCCCTGCACCATCTCAGCGTCATCCATGGCGTCACTTAAACAGCTTCGTCGATGGGCACTTGAGGCACTGGAGTTTGTCGTAAGCCGCGCAACTTCCACTTATGTGCGGACGAATCCAGAGGTGCTACAGCAGGGGTCACCCGAGGAATTTGCGGCTGTGGAGGCGTGGTCCCAGTGGCAGGAACAGAAAAAGCAGCAGCAGGCAGCTGCTGCCAACGAGGCGGCAAACGAAAAGAAAAATGGTGCATCAAAGCGGCGGCCTAACCGAGCTCCAACTGTAGTTCAATCAAGCATCCCCGCTGAAGAGGATGAGTCATTCCTTGCCAGTATCACACTAGAACGTTTACTGTGCAACCCTTCTACGCCGACCTTGACGAAGCCAAGTGTGCCAGGCGGTGGTGATGCTGAAAAGGCTTTGTTCACGAAACAGCTTCACATGGAACCCGTGAATGAGGAGGCCTTGTTGTTCACGCTGCTACTGTACCGCGCGCTGTACAATGGAGCGAATGCGCAACTGTACGGCTGTTTATGCACTTGCAGTGCTGCGTTCCTGCTGCAGCACTACAGGGAGCTGGAGGAGGAAGAAGAAGAAGATGCAAGGCAGGGGATGCACACAACAATACACACCAGCCTCAAAAAAGTGGCACCACCGTCGAAGAAGATGCTGCAGGTGCGGCTTCTTGACACGGTAGGTGTCTCCTTGCGCCTTCTACGACGAATGCGGCGAGTGAGTTTGGGGGCAACAACGTGTATTGGCGATCTTGCCGCCATGGCGCAGGAGTTAGAGCGACTTACCGAGTTGTACGCAGGCCCCGGCGGCACCAGTGTGAATGCCATTTTGCAGCAAAACAGGAAAGACACCCTCGTCGCTTCGGCGCTGCTGTCATCCTTCTCAACTACGCCAATGCTTGGCACCTCAACCGTGCTCTCTGTCAGCTTTGTTGCTGTCTATCAAGGAATTATGGAGGAGTGTGCTGGTCTTCTTCAAGAACGTGCACGCGCCTTTGCGCCATCCGCTCTGCTTTCCGCCTCTGCGGTAACGCCTTTTCCAACCAATATCGTTGGGACAAACAAAACCGTGTCACATGGTGGTGGAGTGACGGAGGAGGGGGAAGAAGAAGAATTGGAGGCGATGGATATGTATCATAGGATTGTTTGCGCCTACTTGGGGGCCAAGGTGAAGAGTGGACTGTCCGACGGAGTCAGCATTGGTTATCTCGTTCTGGCGTATGTGCAGGAAGTGGAGGTGGAATTTTCGAATAGTCCCAAGAGTGCCAGTGGTGGTGGCGAGGCCAATGGCGGGGATGTTGGTTCAAAGGCTGCGGCGTCGTCTAAAGCATCCCTCAGCAAGGACACTGGGGATCGTAGCAAGCGATTTCGTGTCTTGGATGGACGTATGCATGCGCTGCGCAAGCAGTGCAATCGAGCACGCATGGCACTTGTTTCTCTTCGTATGGCTCTTGGCTGCATCGCACAGTCCTCGGCACCGCTGTCCGCGGAGAAACGGAGCCTGAAGGGGAGTGGCAGCCAATTGGCTGCATCAACGCGAGGGACCTCCGCGCAGGACACAATTGGGGCGCAGGAAGGGGAAGAGGACGTGGTACGAATCCGTCGGGAGCAGGAGATACGCGACATGAGGACCGAGTTGACCCGCTGGCTGGTCCAGCTGCGTTGGACCTTGGCCATCCTTCGCCAACACTATGCCGTGCTGGAGAAGCACAAGTCGGAGGCCAGGTTGGTGATTGAGCGGCAGGCAAATACGAAGGTGTACGGAGCCACCACGATGAAGGAGGCCAACGTTCTTGAGTCTCTCCTCCAGGCGGAGTTGGAGATGCCGCGAGTGTGCGAAGATGAAAAAGGAAAGTTACTGGCCTGGGCCAGAGACGAAGGGGATGAGCTTCTTCACGCTCTCATTCTCATGTGTCTTGCGCCGCATGAGCCTCAGACGAAAACGCAACGTGAAATGTTAGAAGGGGCATTTCATCTGTTGCAGCGTCATGCGACCCGTCGTGGACAGTTTCAGTTAACCGGGTCAGGTACAAAGCCACAGAGCGAGAGTGCCTACTCCGCCTTTATGGTCTTGTGCTACGCCATATCGACGTGTGGGAAATTGGGCTTTAATAACATGACGGAGCGTGCAAAAGATGCTCTGTACGCGGCCTTTTCGAAAAGTGACAAGGACGACGACGAGGCCTCAGACGGACAAAACGCAGCGGTGGAGGCCTCAACCACAACGGCGGCGTGTGAGTTGACGGACGACCCCATCTCGATGTTTTTGATGCACATCAACGAGGAGCTGCTTGCCGTGTCGTCCACACTGCAGCTTCAGACACTTGTCTCCGCACTCTTGTGGATGTCGACGGTGGAGGCGCGTCGTATTCCGTACCATAATTTTGACACGACGGGCCTTATCCCGTTTAATGGAAAAAGTTTCATGATGGAGGCGCCTTTTCAGCTGAGGTATGGGCTTACAAAGTTACAGCTATGGCATATGCGTAGCGCCTACCGAATTCAGTTCGCCGTGAATCTTGCATCCCGGGTAGGGAATAGTGGTCAGATGCTACAGTGTGCCTTTGAGCTGTTTAATACACTGCTTCCCTCGCTCACGGATGAAAACTACTACCCGTTTTTGTTGCCCCCACTCGCCACACTCTGCGAGGCGTTGATGCGGCAGCCGGCCTCCACCTGGGGTGATGCACATGTTCAGCTATTGGCGGCCCGGACACTCGATGCACTTCTTAAAACCGTGCAGAAGATGTCTGCGGCAGGTCCCGATGTGGAGTCTGCGGTTCGCGACGCTGCAGAGGTCTCGAATAGTGCCACGGGTGGTTTAACAATGATGCCGGTATCCATTCAAGGGTGGTATGACCTGTTCCTTCGCCTCTTTGCACGCGCGTGGGAAAACGTCTACAGTCATCCTAACCCGAGGCAAGTGCGCTATCAGGAAAGCCTGCGCCGGGGTGCGAGGATCGTGCAGCGCGTGTTATGCCTTGATCAAGATGGTGTAGATGAGAATACAACACCCTTTCCGCATCCATCCCTCAGTATGTCTCGGATGTCGATATCGAAGGCCAAAAGCCTGAGTGTTTCAGCAGCAGCGGTTGCAGCGGGCAATACAGCGGTGCCACGGTTTCCAGGCGGGGCCTACGCTGTAACCGACACCATTCTCGACGATTGCGTCCCCATTGAGTTTCTGGAGTTGCTGGGAGCCATTCTCTTTACCGTGCCAGGCGGGACTGCGTTTCTCACTCAGTCAGCTGGCGCAAGAGCAGGGAAGTCCCCTGAGCGTTTGCGATCGATGCCGGCAGCTGAGGCGCTTATGGGTGTTCCTTCGTGGTTGCTGGCTGTGGCGAAGGCGCTTACAGGCAAGACACCGTCGGCAGCCTTTGACCGCCTGCAGCAGGCAGTGGATGACCCACTTTATGCGAAGACCGCTGTGTACATTGTGGAGCACCTGCTTCAGCAGGGCGACATTGCGGCAGCACGTCGTGTGGCGACGGAGGCGCTACAAACCATTGCGAAGTTGCACCAGCGTGTTCAAGACCACCAGCAGGCCGTGGTGGAGCACATGACGACCTGGTTGGAGAACGAGGGGTACATGCTGGTGACCCCGTCGCGGCTCAACAAGAAGCCCACACCGGAGGTTCCATCGGCTAAGGGGAGACGCCAGAGGCGCAGGTCAGTTCCCAGGGGCATTGCCACAGAAGCGGTACCGCCGGTGGGGCAACCAAACACTCCTTTCGCCGGTACCACCGGAAGACAGTGGACAACCTCGGAGCAGCAGATGCTACGACAATTGACACGGGGTGTCGCGTATGTGCGGCGTCGGCAGGCGTTGCGTTGGCTGCGAGGTCGCATTATGCAGTTCAACGCACCGTATCAGGCCCAGCTGCATTTTTACCTCTCAGTGATCGCCCAGTCCTCGTTGGAGCAGCGGCGACAACAACAAGCGCAGGAAGGCAATTATGCGGCAGCTCCCGTCACAAGCCAGCGACAAGGGCACAACAGGCTTAAGGCGCATGGGGAGGAGACTGCCGCTGCGGCTGCTCTAACGCGAGCCGAGGAACTGAAGGCCGAAGTGAAAAAGGAAGAGGAATGTTTTATTCAACACGCAGCACGCTCAGCGTTAATTTTCACCCGATGCGGCTTTTGTTCGCGTGCATTTGCAGTTATCTCACAGACCATTGACGGCTTGCGCATGTTCGTGTGTGAGGAACCGCCTGATATGACGTTGGCCGACGAAGAGTTGCTGCCTCCCTGCCACGGGCCCCACAATGTTACGCCGAGGCGGCGCCCGAGTGTCACTAGCCTCTCATTCGATTCTATTTCTTTGTCCAACGTAAATTCTAACACAATGCAGATGGTGGCTGCCAACGAAAAGTTGATGGAATGGGGACCGCGTGTTCTGCCACTCGCACGTGCGCTGCAGCGGGTGCTATTTTTGCTTTGGTATGGCTTTGTGGACTACCGCCGCGACAAGGATTTTCTACACCCAGCCGCTGTGAAGGTTGGGCGAGACGTGCAGCTTGAGGAGCAGTTGCATTTTCAGGGTCGGGTACCGTCGCTGCACTCGTACGCCTCCGCAGCTGGGCAGTATGAGGAGGCGCGTCTGGCCCACCTTGCCGCTCTGAACTCCGCACGCCTGATCCGGTCGTTTGAGTGGCGCACGCGTGAGGTGCAGGCTGCAGAGCAAAAGGGACGCGAGGAGGTGAACCTGCAGTGGCTGGCGGAGCTGCATGAGTTGCTCGTGGGTCAAGTCTCAGCAGGAATGGCGTCGATGGGGCCGCATGCCGCGGGGCTAGAAAAGACAATTGCGAAGCTAGTGGAGCAAGCAGAATCAAGGGTGCAGAAGCAGTCGTGGGCGATGATGCCAACAAAGGCGAAGAAGTCATCGAGGAAGGCTGAGCTGTTGCAGGGAGATGTGCCTGAGCCGATACGAACAGGCAACGCCGATGCCTCTGCACTAATTGCACTGCGACTTGGCTCGACAATTCCGGCGGAGAAAATTGTAGATAACCTCATGTTTCTGCTGCGGTACATGCAGGTGTGCCTTCAGCTTGTCTCGCTGGAGCTCTGCTTGGAGGTGCACACGTTGACCGACGGCTTCTTCGCCTATGCCTTGCTGCCGTTTGCGCTCACCCTGCAACGCACCATTGGTGCCGCGCGGGACGAGAAACTGCTGCAAGAGGACGCTCACCTGCGGCAAAATGAGCCGATGCACAAGCTGCTTGTGCGCAACGCCCGGCGGTCGTGGGACATATACACGACGACAGAGAGATATCGGCGTGTGTTGCAGCGCCTGGCGCGAACACTGTTGCCATCGAGGCGAAATCTCAAGGAACCCTTGGCAGTTGGCGCCTCCTTTGCTGACACTGACACCGCGTCGAGGGCGAGTCTGGAGACGCCGACCACCGCGAAAGAGGCGGTGGTTGGCGGAGGTGGACAGCATCTGGCGTTGCGTGACGTCCTCTCCCGCTATGAGGCGTCCACGACGTACCTGCAGCAACGACGTCTCTTTGGCCTACTTTCTGAGCAGCTGCACGAGGTAGGACGCATCCACCTGCTGCACCGTCAGCGTGCGGAGGCGGAGCGGTGCTGGATCGAGGCTGTGGACGCGGCGTTGGAGGTTCCAGACAGTCTCAAGCGTCCGCCTGAGACGTGGGCCAAACTCCCTGTCGCCACGATTGGGCTTCCCCGTTTATTACTTGCCATCATGTCAATCAGCTCGCTCGCCATGTACATATACCGTGAGCAGCAAGGGAAGGCCGTGGATGCCTATTTGCTGGCCGCACGCATTCTTGAGCGCTTTTTTGAGCAGGGCACCACAAGTAATTTTCCTCGTCGCCTGCGAGAGTTTGGGGGTTTTACGCTAGAGGATCTCATTGTTCTACCGCAGCTGGGTAATTCCATGCCTGCGCTAATGCCGCAGGTGGTGCATCACATGCTCTTCCTTGCGTGGGAGCTGCTGCGGTTCAAGTTTCCCTTCTACGCCGCCATGGTTGCCTCACTGACAGAGTATTTTGCGCGGACACACATGCGCCACGTCGCTTCCACCGTGGAGGCACGACTCGTGCAGGCGATGGCGGCTGCCAAGTTTGGAAGCTACAAGGCCTCTATGAAAATATTGCGAGGTGTGTGCCAAGGGGTTCGAATTCCACGTGGGGCACTGGATAGCACCGGGCTGCGGGTGCGGGCGCTGGTGGAGTGTGTTGAGGCCGTCAAACCCACGAAGAGCAAACGCGGGGATGGAGGAGCGGCTTCCTCTAACCGACAGGCAGACCAGCAGCATACAGATCAACGGCAACAGGAGCAGCAGCAGCCGCAGCAACAACAACAACAATATGAATCATTGGAGGGCCTTTACAACGACGCCAAGCTTCCATTGCAGGCCAGCAATGTGGCGTGCATACAGACCTTCTTGACGCAGTGTCTCGGGGCGGGAAGCGCGACAGCCCCAAATGTGTGGACATCACAAACGTCTTCGTCAACCAGCCCCAGTATCCTAAGTGGTGGTGGCGGTGGCAGCGTGCTGCACGAGGCCGTGGTGTCATGCTACGGTGTATGCCTCTCGCAGCGTGTGGAGCTCACGATTGCCGACGTGCTGGTGACGCTTGGCGCGAAGGAGGTTGCGTACGTGTGGAGTGCCTTCACGACGCAGTATCAGCCTGTTTCGAGCGACCGACGCGGGGGTCGTCCAAGGAGCTCGCAACGGGTGTATCTACACGGATTTGCTAACTCTGCGTGCCTTGAAGCCTTGAACGCCGCGGAGCAGATACTGCAATCGCTCTTAGCCAGGCTACAGGAGAAGGGGGCTAGCACAGCCACAAAGGATGCGTCTTTTAAGCGGAGCACGGGGCAAGATAATATGGCCGCCTTCGTGCCAGAGAACACGCAGTCAAAACGCGGTCAACAGGTGGAGGGGAACTATTTGCGCTACAACTCATTGTTGCTGCTTGCCAGAATTTATACCGCGCGCGGGGATTCTTCCAAGGCGTTGGCGATGCTGCGGTGGCTCGTGTCAAATTTCAATGAGAATTTGGGGGGTCATTCCCCCACTGTCGCAGCCACAGGCGCACCCTCATACCTATGGACCGTGGCAACGCACATCTTTTGGTGCGACGTCTACGAGCTCATGCTGCTGAACCATGTGCGGCTTCGCGAATACATGGCGGCGCAGCAGGTGATACGTGAGGCGATTACCCTGTGTGAGCACTGCGGTGATACCTGCAGTGGGCGTGTGTTTTCACTCTACGACGCTGCCATTAAGGCGAGCACAGGCGCCGCCGCAGACGCCAGAGAGACACTTTGCGTCTTGCAGAAGATGTCCCACACCGTAGGATCCGACAACCGCATTGACATGTTACACGCCTGGGCGGTTGTGGCAGCGGAATCCTTGCGACGCGTGTTGCATGAGGGAGGGCAGGGGCAAGGGGAGACATCCGCCGCCCCCTGCGCGTCTGCGTCATTGGTCGAATCTTTGGAGACGCTGGAAACAGCCGTGCGGGCACTGCGAGAGTACTGCGAAATGTACGGCTTGCTCCCCGGCAGTGTGCCTCTACTAGAAACTAGGCGGCTGCCCGCACTCACAGAGGCTTCTCTGCGGCGGCGGCGGCGCCCCTTCGTGGCGTGGAATGTGGAAGCAGTCTTCCTACATCGTGCGTTAAACCTGCTGGCAGAGGCATACATGCGTGTAGGCAAGTTGGAGCATGCAGAGGGAGTACTGCAGCATGCCATTGCCACCCTCGCCCCGCAATATGACATCACAGCCCACCCCACACCACTAATCGAGAGCCGCTTCATGCTGGCACGCGTTCTGTGCCTTCTTAGGCCATCGCTGCTAACCGAGCAGCAGCCGTCTGCGAAGCATGTGAGTGACACCGTCTACTCTGAAGAGCTCAATGAAGCAGAGGTGTTAAACATGTTAGATCCGCCACGACAGCGGCCAGTACGACTCTTGATGGATGTTGCGGAGCAAGTAGTGGTGAGTGGCACCCACGACTATAACATTTTGCGTCTGGCGCTGTTGAACTTAGCGGTGCTTCTGACACGCGCAGACCGGGCGTTTCACCTCATGGCCGCCACCTGCGTAATTTTGGCAAAGTTTGTAGGGGACATGAACTTTCACGTATTCAGCGGCACCAGCGTCTTCTCCCTTTACGGTGAGGATAACCTTCAGCTTGGGACGGATTTGATGTTCCCCGAGAGTGTCACCGCCGTCATTGAATCCATGCAGCGTAGTTTGGGCAACGTCGCCGAAAAGGATGTCAGCAGCGGCGGGGTTGTTTCGGGAACCGCATCTCCAAACTTGTCGTCGGAGCAGCGACGATCTCCCTCCCGCTTCCGTGAGGAGAAGGATGAGTCTGCGCAAAAGAACACCATCGCACTTCCAGTGTTAATCGCTGCCTTTGCCTCCCTGCATCTGGAGAGAGCGATGCAGTGCGTGTTTCCACCGCCGGAGTCACTTGACCTCGAAACGGCTCTGCGACTTGTGCGCAAGTACCTGCAGGTAAAGACATCCCCACTTGGCGGTTATTACCTTTGGTACGACGATGTCACACGTGAAGCATACATTAGACAGCAGCAGCAGCAGCAGCAGCATGGACAAGGACAAGGACGTCCTGGTGAGGGTGCTCGTGCACAGCGTGGTTCTTTTGCAGGCGCCGATGTGGGCGGGGCAGGCATCTCGCTGCTCCCACCTATTGTTGTGGATGAGCTACCGCCACTGCTTGCCACCGCTACTATCATGCAGCTTGGGATACCGAAAGTGAACGTGGTGCTCTGTCAATCCTTTATGCGTGATGTCAACGGGAACTTCGCCGGTAAGCTTAATGCGCTGCCGATTCGGAGTGGGGCAAGCCAAGCGCGTGGTGCATCATCCTCCATATCCATCTGTGCAGAAAATACAGCAGTAGACAACTCCCAGCTGAAGCTCACATTTGTCCTTTTTGTGTCACCCGTCTACGACCCGAGCGCAACACACTCCCCTCCCATCAGCGACAAGGTCCAGCACCTCCCGAACAAAAAGGCGCTGCGCCCAGGGGCGAAGCCCGCAACAGGTGCGAATGACGCAAAAAATCTCAGTGTCTCAACGCCCATTGTCCACCCGTGGAATGGCACACGATGCGTGACGTTTGAGCTACCAATGGAGGAGCTGCAGACACTGTTCGCACAGGCCGTGCAAACATTGCAGTTGATGCAGAATCCCTCCGCAGCGGTCGTAGTGGCTGGGGCAGAGGGTGGAGAGGAAGTGGAGGTGCCTGTAGAGGCTGCCTTGTCGCAGAAGCTGAACGAGGCCATGGTGCTCTTGACAGCCAAGACGGTACTGCCCACCGGCGGCAGAAAGGTCCCACGCACCGGAGCAGCCTTGGAGTTTCAGCTCCACAGTCCGCTGGGCGCGACTTCGAGCGGCGCGTCTACCGCGAGGCAGGGCGGGATTGCTGGTCGGCTGGAGAGCGGTGCGATGGCCGCCCATGACGCCGCCGTGGCGGACGTCGCGGGTGAGGTACCGGTCGTGGATGAGGCGAAGTCGAAGCTCGTCACCGGCTTCATCGAGTCGCTCGTTCGATCCGTCATCCCGCGCGCTGTCACGGACGATGAACTGATGGAACGCTGCGTCGACTCGCTTCTTCCCCGCTGCGCCGTCTCTGTGGAGGTGGTGCGCTTTCTGCAGACGATGATGGCTGGTGACGGCGGGAGCCTCTCACTCTTCCACCCGGGTCTTCACGAATGGTTTGCCCGCGTGGCAAAGTTTGTGGCAGAGCACGCCTAAAGTCACGGTGGCCGGCCACGCCTGTCCGCCGGCAACCAGAAGGAAATCAGCGAAGCAGACGACGGTCTGAGAGGCGCAGAAGACAGGAATGCCACGCGTTGCGGACACCCACGGTGAGAGAGGGAGATGGTTGGAGCAAGAGCGAGGATGCGTTTGTGTCTTTGCTGCAGTGATGTAAATCAACTATGAAATCCATCAGTAGACGGAGAGGACAATAGATGGGTTTAAGCAACAGGAAAGAAAGAGAGGGATTGTTTTTTTTTTTTTTTTTTTTTAGTTTCTTCTTCTTGGTTGTGTCTTCCCAGTAGAGATCATCTCCCTCCCTCTGTCTTTTCTTTTGTTGTGTGTGAGGTTCGTGTGGGACGGCTTTGCACACGTGCAGTCTAATACAAATTGGAATCAATAGTAACAACTAACAGACACATACATATATACACGCTTACAGCATTGCCATTAAACGCCCAAGCAGAGAGTGAGAGGGCCGTACTAAACGCGCCTAGTTAAATTTGGCCAGATCGTGCTGGCGAGTGTGTGAAGGAGATTTCTGCGTGGAGCCACACCTGGACGGAGAACTGCAGCAATAGACTACGCCTTCCTTCACGATTGCAGTGCAGGTTGGGAGTGGGCCTCGCGAAATAGATGGCCATGTGGATTCACGGTCGGTGCATGGGGGAGCCCGTAACGTTCCTTCTACAGACTCCTGACGGGCAGCCGACGGACGCGTCCGCGTTTTTGGATGCCGTTTGTCACATGCTTCAAACAGAGACCTCAGTGCACGCTGCGGCGCGGCACGTGTATCGCCCCCTGTCCGTATATGTGAGTCTTCTGGGCGATCCCGACGCAGAGCCCGCGAGCACGGAGGACGACATGGAGGCCTTGCTGGACGAATGGCCGCTGCTTTACCTGGCGCTTGTCATGGAGCATGAGGAGGCTGCCGCGGCGGTATTGGAGTTTCATCAGCAGCACGCCGTCACTGTACTGGAGCATATCCTGAGTGAAAACAACCGCCTAGCCTTATTGAGGGCCGCTGCAGAAGAGAGTACCTCCTTCAAATGTGTTGGAGAAACGCACAATAACATTATGGAGTGCCAAGTAGTAAACGAGTTAGGTGGGACTATTGTTCTCTTCACTGCCCAGGAAACCGGTGACGCACAGCTGCGAAGCAGCGGCGACACTCAACACACCAAACAACTAACTTTATCGGTGGATGCAAACGAGCCTGTATTGAGCGTCATCTGGGTTACAGCGGCTCTGAAGCCATTCTTGCAGTGCCTCTTGTATGAACGGAACCATTTGATGTGGAGAAACACAGATGCCAAGACGGAGGAGGGGAAAGACTCGGCATTTGGGTTTGCCACATGCATTGTTAAAGCACATTGTGATGCTTTGGTTGAGTTTTATACTCGATTTCCTGGCATCGTAGTGGAGTACGATGTCCTGTACGAGGTCTGTAATGGCAACCTTGTCCTTCTCTTGGATCTGCTAGGGGCCTACTCTGGCCTCTTGCTGCCCGTCGTGCGTGGAACCCGCATCTACGACGTAGGAAACAATTTGCATGGGAGTCCGGCACACTCAACAGGCAGGGAGGCCTCTCATGGCGGCAGTGTGCCCCGCAGTTGTTGCTCACAGCCAGCGGCAACACCGCCATTCTTGTTGTCGTTTAGGCCGCAAGAACACCAGCGACTGGCTTTTCTCGTAATGTGGACAAATTACCGAGAGAAGGCGTCTATGGAGCGCAAACTACCAGGATCCGCGCGCAACAACCACGAGGCCAGCGTTCTAAGTAACTTTCGCGTCACGCTGTTAAACCTTAAGAAAAGTGGGTACGTGGTGCCCTCAAACTCCCTGTGGAGTGGGCTTATTTTTGTCCTCTCCCGCCTTGTCTCACGCGAGTGTTGCCTTGAACGATTTCTAGACATCATTGAGGAGGATAACTTTGCCGCCTGCTCCGGTAAAATGCCCGTCACTTTTATTGCAGCTCTCGTGGCCGGTGCCGTGGTGGCCGCATTCTTCCCCAGCGGAAAGTACATGCAATTGATGTGCCAAAAAGTGGAGGTGCTGCTGGTGGATGTCCCTGGTGGGGCCTCGCCCCTGCGACCGTACATTCTTTCTCAGCCGGCGAATCACACGGAGCGGTTTGAGGGGCTGTGGCTGGCAGAAACTCCCTTCTCACCGGCCAGGAAGTTCCAGTCTAGGGCGGAAATGTTGTACGCGGCCCTGGTGGATATGGTGCTGTGCAGCGCTGAAAAGATGTGGGCGACAGACGATGCCTTTCCTAGCAGCAGCGAATCTGCCAAGGCGCAACGTTCCCTGCGAAAATGGATAAGCATGTGCCGAAACTTCTTTCAAGACCTGCGAGATAGGCCAGCGGCTTGGCAGAGTGGACACACCTTATCGCGTGCGTCTGCTGAAGGCGAGGTGCCAGCGGAGGCGGGCACGGCATCCGCCGACGATATGATTGAGGAAGATGAAAGTTCCGTCCTGCAGCGCGTGTGTCAACAAATGCGTCTGCAGCTCCAGCAAGGCGCCACACCGTTGCCAGCCATTTACGCGGCCCTGTACACAGAGGGGACGGCTGAGGCAAAGACAGCGACTGACGATGGTGCGGCTTCGGACGATGCGGGGAAAACGGCTGCCCAGCGCGGCGTCCGGGACGACTTTGAAGCCGCTCAGGCCCTCTTCGCCGCCATGGCGCAGCAGGTCAACGATGACATTAAACTGACGTTCTACGGTCTCTACAAGCAGGCAACCACCGGCGATGTTAACGTTTCCAAGCCGTGGGTAATGGACTTCGTCGGCCGCGCTAAGTGGGATGCGTGGAATCGGCTTCGCGGAATGAGCCCGGACGAGGCAATGCGCCGGTACACCGCAGAGTTGCACACGCTGCTAGTCTCCGGCACAAGCGGCAGCGCCTAAAGTGTCCTCACTTCTCTTCTGCCCCCTCCCCCTCCCCGTAGTGGCATGTGGCATTGCTCCACAGCCACCAACGAAACAGTAGGAGAAACCAAAAACGTTAAAGATGCAAAAAGAACAGAGTGGGAGGAGGGCTGCAAAAAAAAAAAGCTTTAAAACGCAGCAAGTCACGAAGAGACTAACAAGCGTTCAGCAAAATACAGACATCGACGCCCACGACAGTAAGATGTGAGCTTTCATATCAAATACGCGGATACGCACACTCACACACAAATACGTGCCAACTATGGAAATGCCCTCACCCCCCAAGCGTCTGACAAGTAAAACAACTTCCTAAACCCACACCGAAAAAATGAAAGAAAGATAATTTTTTGAGTGAGGCGAAGAGAGTGAAAAAAAAAAA